AGTACATTGTAATCATTTTCAGTTTTCGTTATAAATTTTTGTTATCATCCTTATTAATTCGTAAGCGAATTCACTAATGAAAAAATCTTTGATATCTGCCAACAAGAGCTTAAGTTAGGTATCAACTGGTAGGTTAATCAAAACACACAGCACGAGTCAGTCTCAGGGAAAGTTGATTGGACCCTTGTAATTAATTAAAGCAATGTGAACCAAGTCCAAATTTTGTTATTAAAACAACTGTAATCGTCTATTATGAAAGAATTGAAGTCTCTCAATATATTATGCTTCCCATCAACACTCTGACATATATCATCAAGGATGCACTTCTCAAACCCGATGAGGATCAAGTTTGCCAGCCTTTCATGAGACATCGACTGACGGAGGTCTGTAAGCACATTTGTCAGAGCAGAAAAAACTCTTTCACATGTTGCACTTGAGGATCCAATTGTTAATGCTGCCTCATACAGTTCTGTAATGGCAGGAAGGTCCTTCGATTTCGAATGGAAAAGCTATTGCAAAACAGACACCAGATTATGTTTGTCGTTTTTCCTCCAGTGGTCACTGGTGTATTTTTTTGGCAACATCAATTTGAGCCAAAACAAAGCTGTCCATTTCAAGGTCGATCAAATCTGCGAGAAATCCCATTCGGCCTTTGTCAAAGAAATGTTCTGGTTCGGGATTTAGTGACTCCATGGCACGAATAAGATGCGAATTTTTCTCCGAGAAACGTTCATCAAGCTCAACCAGGATATTGTCAATTAGACAGAACCACGATCGTTTGAGGTTATCATTTTCTGACAAATTGGTGTTATCTGTTTGCAGATGGTCATCAATATAGTCTTTAAAACCAGAGTTTTTACGACGTCTTCTATTTCCTGCAGGCTGATGGTCTTGTACTGTTACACTGTTATCATCACCTTCAGTATTTTGCAGAATCAGCTTAACTTCATCCAGCAAAGCATGCTCGCGAAGACCGATTCCTAAACTATTATATAGAATTTACTAAAGTGCCTGCTAACAACTAAAGTGACATTTCCTCACCTCTGAAGAACAAAACGGATGCCGTGGATAGAATCTTTCCGTCAATAATAATGCCTCAAACAATGTAAATCTAACCATGAACAAGAATGAGAGAGCGGTTTCCTATCTTCATTGTTCGATGAGTGCATACAGTTCCCTTCTTGCGCAATAATTCATATCCAACACGAATAATTTAGTGTATTCAACTATGCTCTTGTTTTGTGTAAGTAGCAACACGTTGTTTAACATTCAGTTATGATTCTTATTTTATTAATAAACGAACGATTAACGTTGCATCGATCAATAACAATTTATTTGAAGTCTGACGAATCTGAATAATCCACGTCAGCTTTATGCAGCCGTCGATGCGATAAAAAAACACAAAAGCCCAAAGCATAAGTACAAATATATTTTATTTTATAAATATTGATCTACAGCAACTGTTACTTCGGTTACCTAATATTTTTATACATGAGAACATTGCAACTATTCAAGTTCGAAAAAAATAACAAGAGGCATTATTTTATTTTTAAAGCAGTTTTTAGAGGGCGCATTGCGCCCCCGTGGCAACGGCACTGTACGTAAGTAATTTTTCTTTTTACAAATTAACATTGCAACTAATGGGAAAAACTGTGTGCGATATAACAAGGCCTCGTCATACAATTATTAAACTACGATGAACAGATGAATTACAGATTTCTAGGGAAAAGAATTTTTGTTTGATAATAAATTGATGCCATGCTTTTAAAGAATTCAATGCCATGCTTTATTAGACCAACTGCTGCATATCTTAGACGACATTAAAAGACCCAACAGATGTTCTTATAGTAATTAATTTTAGTTTATCATTTACGTAAACGAATCTTATTTTTAATTATAAATTAACTAGTTAACTTGAGGATTTTAAGAATAGAAAAGTTTGTTGCTGACAGCAAAAAATCGTTAATATTATGTTACTTTGTCCTAGTTCCAATATTAAAAATGGACATATTGACCAATATACTGGCCTAAAACATTTCTTAGCTTAAGCATCATTAATATTGCGCCAGTATGCTAACTTGTCCTATTTCAAAAATTAAAAAGTATCGTTAATATTATACCCATATGTTGCTCTGACTTATTCCTAAGTAAGCCTGATCTATAAAATGTCATATTTAATGAGGTTTGTTTTGTTCACGGTATTTCTTATTATTTACAAAATAGTGGTCCAGTTGTCAGTGATGTTTAACCTTTATGAAACGTCACTTCACAAGTACGCTTTAGATGATTCTTTAACACTCGTCCTGTCAGTGACTCGAAATTATAACTCCATTAGTTTTCTTGTCGGACAGTTTCGAGAGTGCTTGATGTCACTCATCATGATTACAACTCATAGATATTATCGTGAGGCTTAAGCACATAATATCAAAGCATCATCCCTTCTTCCTGACGCTGAAGAGCTAATTAAATTCAACAGTTAAGCCCTTAGGAACTAATTACAATAAACAGTAAACTAGTTTTCTGCTAATTAAAAAGAAAGGTAAAAAGTACAAAAGATACGATAAGCTAGAAGCAGTCTACGTTACTTTTACCTATCATTGTTCGGAGTAACAATTTGGTATTGTGTCTCTTCCAAGCAGTCTACGTTACTTTTACCTATCATTGTTCGGAGTAACAATTTGGTATTGTGTCTCTTCCAAAGAAAACCTGAAACAGAACACTTTTAACACTTAACTCTAAGTACGTCTATGGTGTTTTTAGTTGCTCTGTACTCACCAAAGTTAACCTATTTTGATAAAAGATTTCAAGGAAACGTAACATTGATGTTACTAATTTATTCTTCTGAATTATTCTTCAGACAAACTGTTTAAGCAACTAATATTAAACATTAAGCCTAATCTATCACTCGATTCACCATTGTCACTGAGTTATACCGGATTCACTGTGGTGAGTAAAATAAAACAAAAAACATCATACATATAATATAAATTACTCTACTATACGAAGCCTAGTCTTGTTTTTGTTTTTCGATTTTCCCTTGTCCAGGGTTATTTATTAGCGGTGAAACCGGTATAATTCAATTTCATGTGGCGAATCGAATGGGCTTCATATTTACTCTTAGTTAGTATGGTTTAATTATATCATTGTTCCTTATAATAAAGGTTCTGTATTTTAAATACCATTTGCGAGAAAATATATTGTTTAGAGCCTTACGAGATGTAAACATAAGTTAACAAGGACATTGTTTCTTACAAAAAACTTTTGTATGACAATCATGAAATTACCATTTCGCTCTTCTCCTTAGCTTTCTTCCAATGCAGTAGTTTGAGATGAAATGGAAGAATTGTTTATTCTTTTAACTTTGTATGCATAGCTGATCCCAGTTAAAAATGAAAAGCATTAATGGTACACTTAAACAAGTCTGCTTTTTTATGAGTATATATTTGCCTTCACTGGAGTCTAGACCACCATTTTTCAAACAATGGATTACAAATCAAATGGAAGGGGTCGTGGAAGATGTCTAACGGGTTATAATAAACAACAGTCAGGCGAAATGCTGTTGACAGCTACGTTTATTGGGTCAACAGTTTTTGATATTTTAGCATCGAAATTATTTATATATTCGCAAATTACCTTAACCTTTTACTTTAACTTATTTTCAACCCACAGAAGACACTCATTAAGGAAGATCGAGAATCAAGGAAAACAATTATTTTTTGCATATGACGACCTTTGACCTTTACCGATGACTTTTAATTTTAAAATTGTTCTGCTTAGTAGAGGTTTAAGCTCTACAATCAGTCTAAAGTAAAAACTTAGTAACTCGGAGATCTTCAAGTTTGTTTCAGCACAGAATCAGATGAAACCGAGAATTTTTGTTTGTTTTTTGTGCTACCCGCAAAATAACTACACTGAGCACGCAACTATAAGTATCACAGGGAGGGTGGGGACTAAAGTGCATGCGAGAACCTGAACACGGTAATTCTACAGGAATTAGAGGGATATACCCTCAGAAAATACGGCACTTATATTCTTCAAGTGGAACATTTATTTAATTATACGTGGTAAAACGTGGACATATAATGTATGCCAACCTTCAAACTATTAAACGATATTAACCTGCCCCATCAGCTATAGCTTAGAGCATGGGTGGGCAACCAAATTTTTTTCCTGGCCATAGATGTGGCCAGTCCATCACAGAAATGGCCACACTATTAATAAAACAGAAAATTTCAGCTAAATAAATTTATTTCAGGATTCTAACGATAGTCAAGGTCAATAGTAAACACAACGCAAAAGTACAAAAAAAAATACGTTTTCAAAATTACGAAATCGTGAAATATGAATGAGAGATTTGGCATTATTTTTCTCTGACCAGTTAAAAAACACACTATCGATAATTCTACGAGTTGGCCACATATTTTTGCGAAATGGCCATTGGCCAAGCCCACACAGGGCCTAGAAGGATAACGCTCCTTTTTAGCCTAACTGATTTCTTCGCCTAGGAATATACATGTGAAATAGAAAATATTATATAAGCAAACAACAGAACAAAAAAAAACAAAAACAAGAGGAGTTGTGAAAGAAGATATTAACTATTTAGAGTATACAGCATGACTGTGACTTAGTTTATGCATAAATGTGTGTGTGGATATTAATTCTGACGCTTAAACTAATGCAAGATCTTTTCGTGATTTAAAAACAGCAGAGAAATTATGTTCATCAAGCTATTATTGATATCTTTCGCAGAGCTTACAACTATACATAGAAAAGCTATGAGTATTTAACAAAACGGTTGTTAAGCCTTTTACAAAAACTCGTGACATTTCGATTGTGTAGCCAAACAAGTTTTCACAATTTTCATATTCCGTGTTAAGCTGGAAAAAATTTTTTAAAGATATTTTACTTCAAAACCCGTTCGGACATGTTTAAAAAGTAAGTTAATTTTACACATTCTTGGCTCTTTTTTTAAGGTGTGGAGAAACAAATAAATTTCCTACCTGAGCTATACAGAAAAAGTAGCAATACATGGGCACTGCCCACTGACCAAGTCATGACCTAATCTTTCCAGAGTGTTTAAATACTGAATGTGATTCCTTCACTGAGTGTCAGCACGAGCCACGCGTGCGATGCTCCTGTTCCTATCGGAAACTTGGTAAATGTGAATCAGTTGAAATGTATCCAAGCTAACTCTTCAACTGAAGACAGAAATTTGTCTTCCTAAGAGCCAATCGCTACTTCCGTTACTTACTCACTTCGTCTCTATCCTCGACATACTCTTCGATATCGCGTTTTCTCTCGTGCGCTCGCTCTTTCGCTTGGTTTGTTTTGCAGCCACTTTTCATGCGCAAAAAAGCTTGTTGAGGAGCTTGCTTAATAAGAAATGACAATGTCTAATGGGACATGAATAATGGATGAAGCAACAATGGACGGTGAGGTAGAGATGGCAAGGAAGGCAAATTGCAAAGATCCCGGGAAATATTGTAAGACTCTAGCAGGAGTTGATAAGATTTCCCTGCAAGAAAAGAAGCGCGAATTATTTTTTGATATGGTAATGTGATCCAAGGGCTATCTCTCCAGAGTAGCTTTTTCTCTCACTCCCTCAGATTTTTGAGTTGAAAAGAAAAAAAAACTCGCCCGACGGATTCATCGAAAAGTCCGTTAAAGGAAATTCAGTATTGTGATATATCCATGAACATTTCCAAGCACTGTAAACTTCATCAGATAACAAAAAAATCAAAAATATTTGCCACAAAAAAAAGCGAAAAGAGAAAGTTTTTATCGGTTGTACATACTAAAACCTTTGTTTATTTTGTTCATAACACTTCACCAGGTTTACCTGGAACTTGATGATGCCAAGTAAACCTGGTGAAGTGTTGTGAATAAAAAATACGAAAGTTTTACTATGTGCGATCGATGAAAACGTGTGTGAGTTCTTTCTAATATTTAATTAAGGATTGTTTGTTTGTTTGTTTTGAATTTCGCGCAAAGCTACACGAGAGCTATCTGCGCTAGCCGTCCCTAATTTAGAAGTGTAAGACTAGAGGGAAGGTAGATAGTCATCACCACTTACCGCCAACTCTTGGGCTACTCTTTTACCAACGAATAGTGGGATTGACCGCCACATTATCACGCCCCCACGGCTGAAAGGGCGAGCATGTTTAATGGGACGGGGATTCGAACCCGCGACCCGCAGATTGCGAGTCGATCGCCCTGACCACCAGACCATGCCAGGCCTTAATTAAGGAACTCGGCCGCGTCATGGTATTCGTCACAGCAAAGGAACTTGGGTTATTTTATTCTGTAGCAATCTTACTTTAATGGTTGCTACCATGTGTCTGTTAAAAACTGTGAACATGGAGAAGAACGAAGGTTATAACACATGTTAAATAATATTTTTTTTATCTAATGTCACATATCCGCATTCATTACACCCATAAACTAGAAACATATTTAGCTAGTGTATAGTTTTATGTTCGTTACATTTACTAACAATCAAGAAAAATAATTAATTAGTGTTTCGTTTACTTTACTTCATTACGTATATTATCAGTCAACTGATATTCTTAACAAGTGTTTTGTCTCTATGTTAGTTGCGTGTATTAATCAAGAAGCGTGAAGTGTCACATCTCTAAATTAACTATATTGACTAACAGTCAAACGATATATTTAAGTGTCTCGTCTCTATGTTCATTACTTTTACTAACTGTTAAACAATATATTTAGTGTTCGGTCTCTATGTTCATTACTTTTAATAACTGTTAAACAAAATATTTAGTGTTTGGTCTCTATGTTCATTACTTTTACTAACTGTTAAACAAAATATTTAGTGTTCATTACTTTTACTAACTGTTAAACAAAATATTTAGTGTTTGGTCTCTATGTTCATTACTTTTAATAACTGTTAAACAAAATATTTAGTGTTTGGTCTCTATGTTCATTACTTTTACTAACTGTTAAACAAAATATTTAGTGTTTTGTCTCTATGTTCATTACTTTTACTAACTGTTAAACAACATATTTAGTGTTTGGTCTCTATGTTCATTACTTTTGCTAACAGTCAAACAATATAGTTAGTGTTTGGTCTCTACGTTCATTACTTTTGCTAACAGTCAAACAATATAGTCAGTGTTTCGTCTCTACGTTCATTACTTTTGCTAACAATCAAACAATATAGTTAGTGTTTGGTCTCTACGTTCATTACTTTTGCTAACAGTCAAACAATATATTTAAGTGTCTCATCTCTATGTTCATTACTTTTCCTAACTGTTAAACAACATATTTAGTGTTTGGTCTCTATGTTAATTACTTTTGCTAACAGTCAAACAATATAGTTAGTGTTTGGTCTCTACGTTCATTACTTTTGCTAACAGTCAAACAATATATTTAAGTGTCTTGTCTCTATGTTTATTACTTCTACTAACTGTTAAACAATATAGTTAGTGTTTGGTCTCTACGTTCATTACTTTTGCTAACAGTCAAACAATATATTTAAGTGTCTTGTCTCTATGTTTATTACTTCTACTAACTGTTAAACAATATATTTAGTGTTTGGTCTCTACGTTCATTACTTTTGCTAACAGTCAAACAATATATTTAAGTGTCTCGTCTCTATGTTCATTACTTTTGCTAACAGTCAAACAATATAGTTAGTGTTTGGTCTCTGCGTTCATTACTTTTGCTAACAGTCAAACAATATAGTTAGTGTTTGGTCTCTACGTTCATTACTTTTGCTAACAGTCAAACAATATAGTTAGTGTTTGGTCTCTACATTAATTACGTTTATTAGTCAAGAAATATGTTTAAGTGTTTTGTCTCTACGTTCGTTACTTTTGTTAACAGTTAACAATATACTTTAGTTAGTGTTGCCTTTCAGAGGTCGTTATGGTCACTAATGAAGGGACAATATATTTATTTGGCGTCTTGCAATATTGGTCACTATAGGGGCATTATGCTTTGACAATATATTTTTTCTTTGGTCTTTACATTCTCTCACGATAACCTTATATATTCTGCAGTTGTTTATATATTCAGATTATGGTTTAGCAAATTAAAGGTATTGTTATTCTCAAGTTAGCTTAGGCTTACCTTTATATCACTAAGTCTGAATACCACTACAGAAAAAGAGGTTTCTCAGAATTCTTGTTTCGTGTTATACTTTCAAAGAATAGATAATTTAGAACGTTTAATTTAACTCATTTACGTTATGTCAAAAGTAATTTTTGCGGTATTACTTATTACAGTCTGTAGGTATGTATTTATTGAACAAAATACTGTAGCAGATGAAGTAAGAAACTAGACTAATTCCCGCTCACGCTAGAAAGTAATGAGCGCGAAATGAAAGATTTGTTAAACTCATGAGCAAAACGATGGATAGCAAAGGGGAACAGCACATGAATACACGCATAATTTGTACATAATTTAGAAAAAGGGGATCACGTAAGAAGTAAATAAAATATTTAATTTTTACACATCATGCTTGGTTATGTTACTGAGAGCCTATTTATTATTTAAAAATCAGTCTCGTCCTCTTATACTTCGACGTATAATTAAACACGGTTCATAATTATTAAACCACATATTTGCGTCTGTTTTTCTGTAGTTTCATTACGATTCTACTAAAACTTAAGTAACTTAGAAAAAAAATCAAGTATTAGTTAGGCTTGAAATGATTAAATATTTGCCCAAAGCGGGAGAGGAATATTTTGATAAAATGAAAACCCAACAAATAAGAAGGACACTTAACTATCCTGCTGTTTTCAATTATTCTGAAGTCTTAAAATTATTTATTTCCTTTGAGGCAAAGACTGGCTAATGAATCTTTGAAACTTTAATTATGGATATAGAATAATTACACCTGACTCGTAAAACAAAATATCACGACGCGGATAAAATATACAATTCTTGAATTTAATTCACAGAAGTCTTAGTAAATTAGGAAGTTATTTTTTGTTTTGTTTTTCCACACAGTTTGTTTAACATAGAGTTATGTTTCCTAGTCCCATACCGATATATAGAGTCTGTAAAATTGAAAATGTGTTGACGATAGTAAATAACATAAAAATAATCATAAAATTAGGTAAGTTTACATTCTTAATATCCAGAGGTTAATTAGCTGGTCTACAGAAAAGACAAAATTGAGACACTACTGTAAAATTGTTTACTCTGTTGAAAGGGGTTATATTGAGAGAAAAACAACCTAATGGTGGAATATGTTTCTATATATTACTTTGTAGCCTTCCTGGTGTTTTACGGTCTTTATAAAAAAAAAAAAAGGAAAATGTTTTGACAAGCACATTTTAAAATAAATCGCAAATTATGCCCTCAAAGTAGGTGGAGTTAACGTACACGAGTCCAGGATCAATTTTATCGGGAGTTGATGAACTTCAGGGACCGGGCGTGGGCTAATGATTACCGTGCTCGGACTGTGAATCCGAGGAATCAAGTTCGCAACCCGTTGCTCAAAAAACGCACCGAAGGTGTACTACAAGGGTGTTTGTTGGTTAAGCCTCACTATTTGAACGAACAAGAAAAGTCCATAGCTATTGGTAAGCTTCTTTCCCTTTAGTTTATCAGTTTAAAATTAGGCTGTGTGAGGTAGCCCCAGTGTCACTTTACGCGAGACGCTGAAGTAAAACTTAGCATTAACTGAATTTAACTAAACAATTGAGCTCGTACTTCTTACTTATCAGAACAAACAAATCAAAACTTGCTGCTAAACAGACTAGTTTAAAGACACGTTTACATTATCTAAGCTATTCTATTTTTTCCATCTTACTAATCTAACGATTATAAATATTACGAAGAGTTATAAAAGTTTCTGAAACTAATGCGCTTTCTAATAATTTTAAACTTTTGTGTTCTTACATAAGATCACAGTGGCTAAATGTTAAAGTGTTTCTATATATTTTGTAGTACAAACCCCTATTTAAACTGAAACCTATATATTTTTCCTTCGTTTTGTTCTCAATAGTCCGTGGATTAGAAGAACAACTACAACAACAAAAACTGTGATTGAAATGTTTACCAAATAGGTTCCTGGCTCTGAACATGCTCGCCCTTTCAGTCGCAGGGGCGTTATAATGTGACGGTCAACTACACTATTTGTTGATAAAGAGAAGTTGGGTGTTGTCGG